AATTCGATATTATAAAATTTACAAACGATTTAATCGACGATAATTATATTAAATCCAATTTAATATAAGAGATGATTTCTTATTTATAAAAAGAAGGATAAAGAAATTAGACCTTGGAAATTAAAAAGAAATTTAAAATCGTTTTCGCGGAGTATTTAATTAGATAGGGCCGTATATATTAGAGGAAAGATATAGAAGAGAAGGTGTTTATTAATCCCGACGATAAAGATACCTAGTTATAGCTTATTTACAAAATATATACGGTTAAGCTAGGCGGTTACTTAGGCCGTAAGAAGATATATTAAACTTTTAATAAATTCTACTACTAGTTAAAAATATATTAGTCGGTTAAGGAATTTTATAAGGCTTGCTTGGCTTATGCTAAAACTAAATCGTTAAGATACTTCCCCGCTAGATTTTTAAAGCCTTTCTTAATTTCATTCAAATATTAAATAGAGATTTTAATCGATTATATTACTCCTATAATATTATATATGCGAAGCGGTAGGATTTATAAGTATATAGCGGTTATTATTGACCGTTTAATTAAAATAAGGTATTATATCCCGATAGAAATTTTAAAGATAGAGGAGCTCGTTAAAAGGGTTATTAAAAAGATTTATAGTATTTACGGTCTTTTAAATAATATTATCTCGGATAGGGGCTTATAATTTATTTTAATATTTTAGAGGATTTTATATAAACAGTTAGGTATTATAGTGAAGTTTTTTTCGGCTTTCTATTTATAAATTAATAGTTAAATAGAATGGATTAACGCGGAAATAGAGTAGTATTTTTATCTTTATATTAATTAAGTATAAAACGATTAGGCGGATTAGTTACTACTAGCTGAATTTATTTGTAATAATATAGTATTAGAAATAATAGGCGTTAATCTATTCTATATTAATTACGGTTTTTATCCTCGGATAGGTACCGAGCTGGCTAAACTATGCCTACCCAATTTATCCGAAGTATAGAAGAAAGAATTCTTTAAAGCTTTAGAAGTAGTTAATTGTTTCTAAGCTATTTTGGATGGTGTGGTCGCCCTGTTAAAGTAAGTATAAGACCGGTACGAGGTAAATGTAAATAAATATCGTAGCGATGTTCCGAAGTATTATATTAGAGATAGAGTCCTATTAAATATTAAGAATTTGGCTACGGGGAGGCTGTAAGCGAAGTTAGTCCCTAGGTAGAAGGGACCTTTCCTAATTATCGAATTAGATTCCTATTATATAAAATTTAAATTCCCTAAGAATATGAAGGGTAATTTAGTGTTTTATATATTTATAATTAAGTTCTAGGAGACGGTTAGATTATTGGGATAATATAATATTAAGGAGGATATCCGTACTAATAAAGGCCGAATGATAATTAGAACTGACGAATACGATAATAATAAATAGTAGGAATAGGAGTTTGAGAGTATTATAGGATATAGTAAAGTAAATAATAGTCGTTAATAATATTATATTAAATGGAAAGATATCGATAAATCTAATTAGTAGCTAATTAAGAATTTGGAAGGGTACGACGACGCTATTTGGAAGTTTTATAACGCTAATTTTAATATATTACCGCCGCTAGTTTAGGTTAAAAAACAACGAAGACGGTTAAAGAAGAAGTCAATAAAATTAAAGGATATTCTAAAATAATTAGAGGTATTACCGATTCGATAAAATACAAGATTGAATAAAAAATAAAATATCGATGAAATTTTAATAAAAAAAAATCAAAATTTATAAAGTACGCCCTACTTTAAGTTTTTAAAGATAAATCTCTTAAACTTATTCCGAGGGATAGCCCGTTTTAATTATACTTTAATTTTTTTACCTTACTATATTATAGGATCTTTATAGGTAGCCCTCGGATCGGTTTCCTTAATTCGGATAAGATTATATAATATTTATAAGAAGTTAGCGTAGATAGGATTAAGCGTTTACAATTATATTTATAAGTATAGGGTGAAAGAGGAAGAAAAATTATTATAAATACGATTCGAATATACGATATCTATTTATACTAGTAGCGGCGCTTTGAACGTCCTCGTATACCGCTATATTATAAGGCCTTTATAGTACCCCCTTACGGGGGCTAATAATAGGAGAAACGAATTATTAGGTTTATATACGACGTAAGAGAGTTTTTAAACGTAATAATAAATATTTCGGCGGAAGGATTATATTTAGTAGTATTTTAGCTAGTATTCTACCCTTGAATGGGTGTTCTAACGCTAAGTAGCTTCCCGTCTTGGTATGTACGTTAAGGGATTTTATCGGATTTTAATTAGGTGTATTTATAGGGTAACTAGGAAGGCCTACTTTAAAGGAATTAAAGGGTAAAACTATATATTTAGTAATTTTATAAACGGGGATTTCTTTTGCGGAGGGTAGTATTATAAGGCTAGATTCTATACCCTATACCAGTTATACCATAATTATTATTGGCTAGTATACTATATTGTTATATAATAGAGCTATGGTACTGGGTAGCCTTGGTAGTAGTTATGGGGTAGATTTATAGGTGGATTTTACCTATGCCCTATATCTGCCCTGGCTGCGCACACCTTTCTTGCTTCCCTCGTACAATAATAAAGATCATACCTTATACTTAACAGTGCCTTCGCCCCGTGATACGTTTTTAACTTTGGTAATACGGTTAAAATATCGAATATTTAAATATAGTACGTATTTAGTAATACTAAATAAAGAGAATTATTATATAATCCTCTTATTTTTAAATTTTAAAATAGAATAGTAGCCTTCGAGAGGGTTAGTTGTAAATATTTATTAAAGAGAGGTATAGTTAATTAAGAAAAGAAAAAAAAATTAGCGTTAATAATTCCTAGGTTTCTTCTAATATTCTTTAGGTCTCTTCCAATATTCACTAAGTTTCCTCCAATATTCTTTAAGTTTAAAAAGAAATTAAATTCCGTTTTATTTACTCTAGATTCTTAAAGGATTAAGGGGAGTAAATGAAAAAATTAATAAAAAGAGAAGGGGTTTATACTTATAATAATAAAAGTAAGTACTTACAAGCGTAATTAACCTATTACAACTTTATATCCTTCTAATTCTTTTCAATATACCTTCGCATAGGGTCGTCTTAATTTAAATTAACGAAGGCAAACCAAATAGAATAATTACAACCTTATTTAATACATTTTTAATGAATAGTATCGACTATACGTTCTAAATACTCTTTATAACTATTACTAGTAAATTTCCGTTTAAAGATCTATTTTACGTAGACGTAATAGAGGAAGTAATTAACTTTGATATTAGGGAAGGCTAATTTTATAGCGCATTATTCGACGGTAGAATCGTTTATAAAAAAGTAACAAAGTAGCTATAATTAACCGCTTTTTATTACCTACCCCCGTATTATTAATAGAGCCTTTCTTACAATATTACTATCAGCCTTCTTTATAAAGAAGTGATTATAAGGAAGTTAATAGCCGTACTTATTACAAATAAGAAGGGTATAGAATAATTAATTAAATTAATTCGTATTGTGTGTAGCATCTATGAGGATAAGGTGCTTTTACCATTGTAATGTATTAATTTAATTTAATAAGGGGGGAAGAATATATTAATTATACGTATATAAATAAATAAAAATGATAAAAATGATGAAAATAATAAAAATAATAAAAATAATAAAAAAGGATATATTAGTAATCGATTAAATTACCCTACGAGAAATTTCACCATCTCTTTGCGTAGCCTTAACGGCTTTACTAAACAATTTGAAATTATTAATATTTTTATTTACTATTACTTAAATAGATAGGTATTATAATACTTAATCGATTTATAATTAGAGGACGAAGTCCTTACCTACACAATATAGATTTAAATAAGCGAACCGAAATACCCTACCCTAATTAAATACATCGTACTTACTAAATTAACGACTCCCAAAATTATAAAATACAATTTTGGCAGCTTCTAATCGGCTATCATTACTATAAAAGGTATAATAGATAGTAGCCGAAAAGAACCTTCGAGTAACGTTATTAGAAATTAACTTTTTAAAGCTAAAAGTTCGCTTAGTTTAATTTAAAAGATTAAAATTATAATTGTAAAGCTAATTATTATTTGATTTTAATAATATATTAACTAATATACAATTATTATTCCTAACTGGGCTATAATACCATAAAATTATAATTACCTTCGTTTTATACTTTTAGAAGTTACGTATTATTCTATTACGTTTTCCTTTAAGGTCTTTTCCCTTATAGTACTTTCTAAATTTAGTTTTATATAACCGATAGCGTAGATATAGCTTTTCGCGATTAAGGTTATTCTTATTATATTAAGGGCGGCCGGTCGTTAAATAAATTTAAATACGGCGCATTAATATTAAGGAAGGTCTTCTAATAATATATATATTTAATCGGCGGCGGGGTTAGCGGTAGTAACGATAATAGGTTTATCTTTTTATATAGGCAGCGTATTTAGAACGGAGATAATAATTATTAGTTATAAAAGAACATCAATTATAGTAATTTATATAAGAATTATTCGTATAATATTTACTACCCTCTAACGCATTTTTACAGACAGTATTATTATTAAGTACGAATAAATCCTCTTCGTTTATTTTTACAGTATAGAGAAACGCGCCGGGTATAAATTAGTCGAATAATAATTCGTTAAAATTAATATCGCGAAACTACTAGAAATTATTAATATCCTAATCTAATTCGTAGTCGAAAAACTCTTAAAGATCTATAACGCCGACGACCTACTAGTATTCTTATTAATCTATAACGACAGCGAACTTTAAAGAACGATAATAATAGTATTAATACGACTAGTAGAAGGTAGTTATATAGGGAGAAGTAAAAAGGTAAATAAGAGAGACGTAAGTAAAGAGAAATATTAGTATATAAATTATTTGATTTATTTTTCTAGGAAGTGACCGTACTAGCGGTAAAATTGGTGCCTGCTTACTACCGCAATATACCAAATTTCGTGCAATACTGGTAATTTTCTCAAAACAATAGCAATTTCGTCATAGATAATAGGAATCGTATTATTTAAATACCCTCTATTTATTGCCAAAGTTATACGAAAGTATATGGAAGAATAGTGGTGTAATTGTATTGTATCGTGAATTGCGCGTATATTTTGGTAGTATATTTGTTTTTAGCGTGTACGGTTAACAAATCTTATGTTATATGAATATTTACTATTATTTTTCTGGGAGGGAGGATGTGACTGGGGGTGTGGTACGTACTGTTTTAGAAGCCCATTACGCAAACCCAATTCGTCTCGGGAAAAGCTGGGGAACGGAACTTGGGGCGCCACCCGAATATCCTATAGTGAAGAATTTCATGATGAGCGAGACGCGCATAAGGAAGGATGGGTCTCGAGGGTCCAGAGTTGCCTGCCAAGGCTCGCAAGACTCGACCAGATCAGCCACGGGCATCCGAGAAAAGAGCGCTGAGACCAAAGAGGGTATTCCCATGATGGTCAGTGGCGGGTCCAGACCTGAGGAGAACCGCATTGTTTCCCCGGGTCTTGTGTAATTTGGGGCCGTCCACCGCTAAGCATCTGTGGACAATAAACATGGGCAGCATGTGGCAACCGGCATCGTCAGCCTCGCTGGCGGGCGAGTTGGAGAGGGGTGGATGCTATGGGGGAAGCCATGGGGTGGTGGTTATTGGCGGAGGGGTGCAATGATTGCATCCATACGGTACATGTCGACCAGACGTTATCGGCAATTTCAAAACGCCACTGTATTTCCCGAATGTATAAGCATACGAACAGAAGACCGGGAAGAGAGGGGATTGAGGGGGCATCTGGTCAAGTAGGTACCGGTTCTAGTGATCCTCGCCTGGATGACTTTTGAATATCGATACCTACCTGTGCTCATCATGTCGATTCTCTCCTCGCGCCAACGGAGCTTATCGTGGGGATGAGCATGGGAAGGTAGGGGAGGTAAGGAGGCAGGTCAGACATCCCAAGATATTATCAGGCGAGATCTGCTGGGGTTGCGCACATGACCGCTGTAAGCTTGACGATGGGGAAAGTCAATCGCAATAACGAGATGCAATCGCGTTATTTTTATCGTCGGAGTTCAATCGAGCAAGCGAACGATATTGCGATATTGGCATCAACGGCGGATGGAGCACCGCACCTGCCTAATTTCAACTTTCGACTGCGATGTAAGAAGGAGCGATTCAGGGCGCTCAGGCATCGGCAATACCTGTTCTATTATTCTAAGAAAAGCAGCCCAAGAAAGCATACGACGCATTTTTTTTCCACTACGTCATGAATGCACCCTTTTTGCCAGCTGATGTTAGCACAGGCATTAAGAACAGCTTGGCAGACGGGACATTCAATTGGGTGAAACTTCAAGTTGGGAGCCCTATGGCACTGACGACGGAGCAGACATCTTCCATATCAACGGGGCACTTGGCAAACCAGCCAATCATCTGGCAGTCGCAGATGGTTTCAAACATTATCTTCTGATTTTTTTTCTCCTCCGAGCTGGGCAGCTGGGATCATCTCACCGAGCAAGAGCTTGTGAGGTGGAAAACGGCAAGAAGAAAACTGAAAGGCTTGGTTGTGGTCTTGGCTTCCGCGCTTAGTTGATACGTTCAGGTTCATGTAAGTAACGAGGGATGTAACTCGCGACTGTAATGCCTACGTATCCGTAAGTTACATACCTTCATTTCAAAGTTTCAATACCTAGCGAAACTTACCCCAAATTTCATCCACGTTCATTTCTCCAACTCCCGTCTCAACGGAGCACGAAATTTTCCCAGGTCACGAAAGATTCCCCCCATTGACTCTGACCTCCGTTCTCTTTGCTCCCTCCCACCATTGCACTCCCAATGAGTGGCAGTTCCCAACGGAGCCGAACTGGGTTGGTCGCACAACGTCGCTTTTTGCAGGGAGAATGCTTAAAACGGAGCGAACGTTTTCGAACCTTTCTAGAAGAAGAAGAAGAAAGTACCCATCACAACATCAACAAAGATAGGCAAAAGGATTCGACATTTGACGTCCGGAAAGCTTTGCCCCGAGCATGCAGGAAACGGTACCGTAGGCACCAAAACGGCGGGGACTAGTATCAGGACATAAACGTCGAGATGAGTGGATGGTGGGATTGATATGGTGGATTGATGGACGGGATGGTTTGGTGGCACCGATGAGAGACAAGCGGGTGCTTCCTTCAATCCCCCTTTATTGACCTCTTTCTCAGGGGCAGTGTACACTTCAATGCCTTTTTTGGAGGGCGTGGAACCGCTTCCCGTCAATCTCGTTTTATGCTTGTGGTGGTGGAGGTTAAGATAGAGGGTGTAGCTGAGTGGCATGATAGGACGGTGCCCGCTCGTTTTGTGCTACATAGTATGCTAGGTAGTGATACTGTAATTCGTAGCTGGATAGCTGTTGTTGTTGTTGTCCACTTTCTTATAGCCGTTTTGCGAGGCATCTGAGAGGTTGTCATATTCATCGATAACCGGTACTTGATTGTAGCTAGTACACAAGCCGAGGCGATAGATACTTGTCTTCTAAGAGGTGACTCTTGTTGTTTATATGTTTATCAAACAAGATCATCGTCTTCACGTGCGTACCTCAGTGTAGTGTATGTACTTGTTGGACGATCAAACCAGCAATTCGTTGGTTGAAAAAACGTGCTTGTCATCGACAGACAGATGATGTTTCATTCGTCCTCCGAGGAGCCTGTAAACGTTGACCGTTGAATGATCGCCCGGCCGGCGCCGGGCTTCCCGAGCGCTCCCGCTCGTCCCTGCCGTCTTCCGATGAGCACAACACTAGTGACAATAATATGGCATGGACGAGAAGCAAGTCGACCAAAGAAGTTTGCGGAACGTGTCAACATGCTGCAGTGCTTTCTCAATTGGTCTCGGTAAGGCAATTGCTTTCGTGTCAGTCGATGCACTCATAGAGGTAAGAATTTGCATGATCCATCAAAACAATGGTGTCAGTTAGGTACCCGTTTCGTTATACGGAGAAAAAAGCAAGGAGACGATGAGACAGGGGGAAACGGACGAAAAAGGGGCTGAAAACAAAAATATTTTCTGCTTGGCATCAAGGGGATGGATCCTGAGTTGCAGTCGACCTGAAAACGCTGACATCCAATGCAGGGGAACAGCTTCCGCTTTGCATGGCTATAGGTCCTCTCAAACAAGTGATCTCCTTTGACTCAAAACTCAATCTCGTGGGGGCTGATTTGCATTCCGGGTCCCGCACATCAGGCCATGTGCTACGGGCGTGGGATGCTGAGACGGGATCTGGGTTGACTCGATTGAGGTGCTCGGGGAGATTATAGCAACTCCCGCGAGGCCCGGGGTAACGGACCTGGAGGTGGTTGTTGCTATCAAGATCGCCGTTCGGAATAGCGCTCGCTCGATCCATACCACCTTCCGAAATGACACCCGCCTGGTTGGCTTTCTGATTGAAGTTTGTGTCGCCTTGCAGAGTCGCAGTTCCTCTCAAACCCCTTGAATTCGCCGGCGCCAGAACAGCAGCCCGATTCCATCATTTTCCATTCTTAGGGGGAGGTGGTTGATCAACAACTCCATGTCCGAAGCCCAAGGTACAGTTGTACTGAAGCTCTGCTCAATGCTCATATCCTCGGACAGCGTATCCTGACATGGAGCTGTTGAGTCACTGAGAACATCACGTCAGCTCCGACGAAAACTGAAAAATCTCGCGCCGTACGGTAGGGGACCATGTGCTGATACGGAATACTTCACTGCGTACGAGCGAGCGAGCCCAGCAGAAAAAACGCCATCAAATCAAACAGTGGCATCGGAACCATCATATGCAGCTGCAAGCTGCATATCATTTTCGAGATGCTGCACGTACCTCAGCGGACCCTCCCGCCCCCTCACGGGCATCCCACCGTTCGGAGGACCTGTGCCTGCTAGTGTGCCCGCCTCCCGTTTCCGGTGTAGGGAAGGCCATTGTAGCTAAAACAGCACTGAACCCTGTTACACCTGCACGCCGTCACGATGGTTGCATACCATCACCCGTAGTTTTCTGTACTCAACCGTCCCTCGCTTAGCTTTCAGGCAGGCCCCAGGCCAGGCCCGCCTCACAAGTTGCACACGAGCGGACATTTTCTTCCAACCCCGTTGGGCTGAGGCGATCACGAGTTCATGGTTGTTTGCTTTTGATGGCCTTCGCCGGAGTCTTCTGTGCCTGCAGAAAACTATTTTGTTCAAGCAGCAGTGGCTCTTGGCGTCTGGCGTGAATGGAGTGCCTTGGTGAAGAAGAGAAGAGGAGGAGGCAATCAAAGACGGAGAATCCTAGAGGTGGTTGGTTGCAAAATTCATGATAGGTGCCGTAAGTCGAATTAGCGCGGATAGTCGAAGAGAATGATGAGAGGAACGCCGGCATGGTGGGGAAAATTATCGTCTTTTCTCGTTGTCGGAAGTTACATTGATGTACGGTGATGGAATAACATAAGTCGCAAAAGTAATCCATTTCTGGTAGGTAGTAAGGTGTCTTCTGTTCGTCCGAAAAACTCGCACAGTTTCAAGGTGATATCACATTCGCAGCAGGCAGTGTCACATGGCGGACCCATAACAACTCCAACTGTAACGACGGGATAGCCCGTCTCCCTCCCACAATGTTGTTGTTAGTGGGTTGGGGTATAGTCGCCTTCTGATGTTGGATGTATACCGGTAGACAGAGATGAGAGAGCTCAACTGTGCACATGATATATAATAGCTCTCACTCGGATGCCGAACAATACGGCACAGAGCGCGGCAGCAGTTCAGGAACGGGAAACCAAGGGAATGCGGAAAACCTAACGGATCCTGTATCATCAGAACCATGCGGTCTCGCCCTCACACCTAAAATGGGATAACCCGTAAGCAAGGCTCGAAGAAGACAGAGGCTGATTGCATCTCGGCGGGCGCAATTTCGCCTTGTCGAAGAAGCAAATTTTGTGTCCAGAAACGGACCTGACGCGGGATCACTTTATCCACTGAAGCACCTGCAACAGATGATGTGCTGGTTTTCGTTCAGTCTTCCACATGGCGATGAGATCTTAACCGTGTTTGGATTCTGCTTCTTGTCTTTCCGCCGTCTTGATGGCACTTGTCTGGCCTCGCCAAGATGTACCTAGGTAAGGGCTCCGGCGGTTTCGTATGGCTGGTTCGAAGAAGAAGCTTCCATCGCCAGATCCAATGTCACAACAAAAGCCAAACATCACAGGCCGGACAAGGAGATCCGACTTTCAGGGAATCCATTTCAGGGCATCAACGGAACGGAACATTTGATCGCCTTCCCCAACAATGACGCAACGAGTGGGGAACTTGACGTTCAGGGGTTTGGGCGTTTTTGACAAAAACCCATACCCATTCGTGAAAATTCCATAGCCGGCTTCTGGGTACTGGGCGAAAAAAGAGTCCGTATATTACCATGTAATGTACTGTGTTCACCTAATTTATGCGACGGTTATCTCGAGCCGTCCCGTTGGCACCGTCTCTCGCACGATTCTGACCTGGAGTGTTGTGAGCAAGGGATAAACATTAGCATTTAGACCACCAAATCCATCGCAAAGGTGTACTCAGCCAGCAACTCGACGTCGACTCGGTATGC